CTGCTGTGATCATGCAGCGTGGCAAGGCTACATCTGTGATTCAAGCTCTGAGCACGCTTTTCACACCTGCCAGTGTGCTCAGGCCTGTGCTCCTCCTCTGGAGCACACACTTGAATGCATGCTGATATACAGGGGACATTCCACAGTCACCTGTCTGCACTAGTCCATCACTAAGTGGAGAAGCAGGGGCAGGGATAGAGCAGATGAGAGAAGAAATAAGCTTTTTTCCTGGAAAAGGACTTCTTAGTATTCTTTTTTGATGGAGAGTAAGAAGACAATTAAGAGATGGTGCTTAATGACATGGAAAGAAAATGTTCCTTATCTTGTGGATTAATGGGATCTTCCAGCCCACCCTGGGTAAGGAGGTTGACTATTCCAGAAGGATTCACTGGCAAGAATGCTCCCACAGTAAATGAGAGGTCCCATGATGCAGGTATAGACTGTGACCATCTTACCATTTTAGATGCTCCTCTTCTACAGAATTATTTATGCAAGTGTGCTTCCAGGACTGTCCCAAGAAATGCAGGCATTTATTCCTGAAGCACAGCAAGCATACATCTTCCTGTCTTTCATGCATGTCCTGTTCTTTCTATCTGGATTTCTCTCCTCTTCCTTCTTTACCTAGAGAACTCATCTTCCTCAGAAGCAGGCTGCAGTGGCAACTTTCCTGTAAAATCTCTGAAGGTAGACTCTATGGCTTCTATATAATGCTGTTTTAGCCCCTTGGCTATGATTATGGATTTTACTATCAGACAGGTGTGGGTTCAAATCTTGATTTGTGAGATTACTAATCCTGTGATTTTGGGCAAGGCAGTTATATTAGTCTCCAGCACCATAAACTGGAATGGCTTAAAATGATGAAAACTCATTATCTCAAAGATCTGGAGGTTGGAAGTCTGATAAGAAGGTGTTTTCAGGTTCCTGCTCTCTCTGGGGGATCTGGTGGATGGTCTTTCCTTGTGTCTGCTACCTGCTGGTGTGTGCCTGAAGTCTCTGGCACTCCTTGATGTGTAGAAGCGCCACTCCACTCTGTCTCCATTGTCAGATGGTTGTCTTCTTCCTGAGTGTCTCCACATTATCTTCCCCTGTTCATGTCCAAATGCCCCTTTATGTTATGAGGGTTGCCCCTTATGAGAATAAGAGTCATGTTGAATTATACCCACCTAAATGACCTCATCTGAACTCAATTATATCTGCAACCAGCCTATTTCTAAATAAAGTCACATTCATAGGCACTAGGTATCTAGTCCTATACATATCCTTCAGGGGAACATAATTTGACCCATAACAGTAGTTATCCTTCCTATAGTTTCTTTATCTGAAAAGTAGAGGAGTATAATAGTAGCAACATCAAAGAGATTGTGGAGATTCATTAAGTAACAAATTTGAAATGTTAGGCATGATACTTGATAAAAAAAATCTCTAAAACATCCATAAACATCACTAGGAGCAGCTCATCTTTGCATTATCAACTTCTATTCTCCAAAATACACCTTCACCTTGAGATTTCTCACTAAACTCACTGCAGCCACCATATACATATACAGAAACTCTTAGACTCAGGTGGTAAGGACAGCACTAATTAGTGACACAAAACCAAAGGGAGGAATATGACTTTCAAAGGAGAAAAATTAAAGCAATGATCTGACCTATTACATGTCAAACCATGATTGATCTCAGTGTAATTTTATGAATCTGTCCCAGAAGGTCTCTATACTAAAAACAGGTTCCATTTGAAGGAGAAGCTTCTAGTTTCACTTTATTTCCTTCTTGTGTGATTAATAGGATTCATTAATTTGGAGATTTCCCAGAAAACACCTTGATCCCATCCTGAAGATCTTCCAGATTTTAGGATCTGAGATCCAATGGAACAATGATGGTCAGATGGTTCTGAGACTTCACTTGTGTGCCTTGTCCTTGAGTTCAAACCCAGGAACACTGCCCCATCCTTGGGAAGAAGCACTATGGGAACAAAGAAACCACATGACCAGTATTCTTTTTCTAGGCTTCCAAGGCCAACAGGAACATCTCTGAGCTCTGACAATCCCTTCTTGTCAGTGCTCAAATGAAAGCCATCGGCAAAAATTTATTTCATCTAAAAAACCCTTCTAGGCCAGGCTCTGCTGCCTTTGCTACATGATCATTCCTTGGCCTTTGAAATCATAATAGTCAAAGCAATAAAGACTAATTTTATGCTCTGGAACTTGACAGTGAAAAATATTTCAGGTGATGGTCTGTGACTGGTTGATTTAGGAAATCAACAAAACTGACAGCTGACCATAACGTGATGCTCTGGAGTGATGGGGTGATCATAAGTTCTTTGTGTGCCACGTAAGGCAACTGAAATGCCGTCCAGCAGATCAAACACCAATTCTTGTTGGCTTTTGCTCTACTTCTTTCATAAGATAAATATTTCAAACTATTTCCAGTCTACCCCCTCATATAGGTCAAATTTTCAAAATACTTGCATTAGTCAGGAGTCTCTGGAGAATAGGATGTATATGTAGAAAGAGGTTTATTTTAAGAAATTGGCTCAGACAATTAAGCTAGTTGATGAGTCCCAAACTGTCGGTAGACTGGAGACCCAGGAGGACCAAGGTGTGGTTCCAGTTTGAGTCTGAAAGCCTGAGACCCCCAAAATTCGATGGGGTAAGTGCCATTCCAAAATCTGACAGGCTTGAGATCCAAGAATCTGCCATTCCAATTAGAATCTGAAGGCCAGAAGAGACTGATGTCCCAGCACAGAGCAGCCAGGTAGGAGGAGTTCCATGTCATATTATTCACGGGAGAGTTAGCATTTTGTTTTAGTTAGGCCTCCAACTGGTTGGATGAGACCTACCCACATTAGGGAGGCCAAGACCCTGACTCATTCTACCAATTAAAGTGTTATTCTCATGAAGAAACATTCTCACAGACACACCTAGAATGCTTGATCAAATATCTGGGTATCCTGTGGCCCAGGCAAGTTGACACATAAATTAATTATCATAGCACTATAGTTGACTTTTTAAAGAACATGATCATTTGATTCTGAATGCCTGAGTTCAGATGCTGTCAGCTGTTTGCTGACTATATGGCCTTAAGCAGCTTACTTCTTAAAACAGGGTCTCAGTTGCTTCATCTGTAAAATGGAGATAATAATAATACCTACCTCACAGCATTGATGTAATGACTAATTCATGAAAAAGCAAGTGGTACAGAAATTAACTATGTTATTCCTCCTTTATTTTTTTTTCTCTGTATATTTATACAGTATACATGGCAAGGAATTTAAAGAAGAATTAGATATGATTCCTGTGCCTGAGTGGCTCATGGTATAATAAGGGAGGAGGGCTGCGAACAAGATCAATGTATATAGAGTTTAAGATGGAAACATTTAACAGTCCTCTTTGGGGACATAAAGAAGAACTGTGTGGCAAAGTATAGATTGTCATTCTGATGCATAGTAGAGGCAGAGCAATGTCTTACTCTAGCTATGAGGGCCAGACTGGGATACCAGCCCACACATCCCCTCCAACCACCTCCTAGCTCCTTCCTGTCCTTAAGCCAAGCTTCTAGAAATGGTCTGCAGTCTGTCTTCCCAGAATCATAATTCCCCTCCTTCTCAAACCTACTGTAGTCTCCACTAAACTTATCTTTTGAAAACCAATTTCAATGGTTCTTTTAGATTCTCTTACTCTGCTTTTTTTTTTATTTATTTTTTGTTGTTAATTGTGTCCTGGCTTTTTGAGGCTGTCTTACTTAACTGATACTGTTCTGCTTGTCCTCCTCTCCCACTGATTTTTCTTCTCTTTTACCTGTCTCTTAACGTGTTGTCTTTGTCCATGGTTACTCCAGGGGATGTGGGCTTTCCTTGGCCTATCACACTTCATGTGTGTGTTTTATTTTCAACTTCTCTCTCTCTCTCCTGCATTGTGGGTCCATGTCTACTGAATATCCCCACCTAAATATTCTATGATACCTCATACTTGTCATGTACTCTTGATTTTAGTTCATGACAACATCTGTCATGGCCAGAAACCTGCAGTCTCTAGATTTCTCGTCTATGCCTTCTCCAATTTATTCACAAAGTGTTTCTCAAACTTACGACCTCTTTCCACTTTCCATTGACAATATTGTCACTCTAAACTTGATCATCTTCCCCTTACCTCTCTGCAACAGACTCTTAACTAACCAAATGCCTTCAGTCTCTCCTTGGTCTGGGCTACCACCTCTTATGGTTAGTTATCTTTGATTTTCATTTGATCAAGGAATACCCTTACTTAAAACCCTTTTGTGTTGCCCATTAGTTCAGGAAAAAGTCTTAACTCCTCAGTGCAACCTTCGAGTTCTTTACAACTTTCTATACTACTTCATCCAGGACCCTGATGCATAAAGGCCTGTTGTAGGCTGAATTTTGTCCCCATCCCTCAAATTAATTTCTTGAAATTTTGAAATCCTAAGTCCTGGTACTTAAGAATGTGACTGTATTGGAGATAGGTTTTTAAAACAGGTAATTAGGTTAAAATGAGGTCATTGGTATAACTCAATGTATTATATAACAGGTATCTTTATAAAAAGGAGATTAAGACACAGATGTATACAGAGGAAGGAAAGACCATGTGAAAACAAAGGTAAAAGGTGGCCATCTATAAGCCTCAGGAGAAATCACCCCAGGGGTTCTCAGACTAAATTTCTATGGTTTATGCCACCCAACTTGTGAAATTTATTTAATCTAAAAAATTCTTCTAGGCCTTGCAAACAAATACCCAGCCTATACAGCATATTGCTCAGTCTAGACATACTGCACTTTCGCTCATATAGTTCTTTCTTCTTATTGCCCACTTCTAGCTGATATATTTCTGAAAATATTTACTCTTCCTCAAGGTATTTTCCCAAAGCTATGTTCAAAATTAGATTTTTTTCCCTCTTCTGTGCTACACTATTTTTTTACTTTGTTTTTATTTCCAATAAAACAGATATCTATTTCTATTTTTTTTTCCTTATAAAACTGTGTCTAGAAAAGACCTGAGCAGCAACAATAGTCAAGTTGGACAAGAAGGTTGTTTGGAGTGCTTAATGACAGTTTCGTTGGAAATAGGCGAGAAGAGGAAGAATCAATGTAATTTGGTAGTTTACTAAAGGTAAGTCCACAAGGATGAAGTCTCCTGACTTGGGCAACCTAATGGATGGCAGTCATTGTCATAGGTGCAGAAAAGGAGCTTTAGAGGAGAAGCTGAATCAGTGAAGGAGGAGAAGTTCTTTCAGAGGTGCACATGAGTGTCAAGGGAAATGGGGAGGCTGCGTTCTCCAGGCAAGCTGATGTACCAGTATGAGGTCCTCGAAAGAGATACACCTTAAAAAGCTGGACTTACCCTATTTGTTAAATTTAATTTTGCTGAGCTATGGATTCTTGGTCACAGTTTGCATCAAAAAATTAGCTTTGATTATACATATAAAAGGACTCTCTCTTAGACTTCTGCAATTCTCAAAACTAATTAATGTTCTCAATAAATACTTGCTGACTGATATAGGTAAATATATGTGTGTTTTATGTATCTTTGATTTCTTTTTCTTTTTGTATTGCTCTAGCTGGAACTTCCAGTATGATGTTGGATAAGAGTGATGAGGGAGGACATCTGTGTGGTTTTTTTTTTTTTTTAATGTTTGTTTGTAATGTAGGATGTCATGGCATAATTTGCTAGTGAGGTGAAAAATCAGAACAATATTGTAGTAAACACTGATATCTGTCCTCCAATGTTCTTCATCCTCTTTTTTCATTGTAATAGGATTTTAGCTGAGCATATAGCCTCCCAGAATAATCCCACTTTTCCTAGCTTCCTTATAGATGTGGCCATGTGACTGCCACATGTGGCAGTCCAAATGTGGGAATCCACATCTAGAAACTTCTTGGAGATGTGGCTAGTCTATATCCCTCCCACCATATTAGCCCTGGGCTGTCTGTCTGGGCTGACTTACATATGAGAGAGAAATAGAATACCTTGTAGACGCCACTACCATGTTTTTTTTTTTTTCACTGTTCTTAACTGACAAATCAGACAACATGGTTAAGTGTGAGCCCACCCATTTCTTGCCACTTCCCAAGACCTTCCCTGTTTTGATGAAACAATTTTTTCGTACTCAATGTCATAGTGACGAATAGATAGTCTTGCCCAAAGAGAACTCTTAAAATGCTGCACAGCTGGTTGATTGTCTTTCTTGTGCTCTTAAAGGCCAGGGCTATGAGAAATGTGTTCTCAGAGTGCTCTGAATTGAGGACACCTAAAGGAGAAAGAGACTAGACAAGGCCCCACAGGGTGACAGAAGTAACAAGCAGAAAGCCATCAAGGCATGGCAGAGACTGGCCTCCAGTGAATTGCACAGTTTGGCGCAGCTGAGGTATGACATGGGTAGGGAGGCTGAAGCTAAAAGGGAGTCTGCTAGCAGAAGTTCTCTTCTGCTGAGCTCAGTATCTCCATTCTCTGCCGTTCCCTTAGAATGTTCTTTCCGAAGAAACACAAGAAGAGGGGAATATGTTGGCCAACTATTCACCTGTATAAACACAGATGTTGAAGCAAGCATTGTACCCATTAATACATCTTTCGGGAGGGAAATGAGGATCAAGGCAATTCTAAGGAGGTGATACTGAAAGAAGATGCAAAAATATCACAGTCCATCCCTATAAATAATCAAGTAGCTTCCAGGGGATCCTCTTTTAACAGTTGTTCTTCTATCCAGTTATCAACAGACCTAAAATTCTACCATTGATCCATGTATTAATTCTCATTGAGAGTGTTATTCTTTTAACATGAGAAGCAGGGACATTGAAAAGAAGGTAAATTTGGCTGTTACCTGACCCTGGAGAAGAGTCATGTGATAATGGAGCCCAGCCAGAATTTAAGGCAAGGGAATGATAGAAGGGAAACATGGTCAGGGAGGAAATGTCCTCCCTGGAATAACAGCTGCCTGCCACAGCAGCAGGTGTGGTGCAGCTAAGGAGAAATCAGGGGGCTGCTGCTGCTGGTAACATCTCCCTAACAACTATTTATGCAGACAATCTGGCTAGGTAGGGAGGGTCTATCCCAAAAGGCTGCTAAAGAGAGTTGACAGATTAAAAGGCGAACAGCATGCAACTGATACTGGAGCACGGACAGGGAAATGTGCTGGCTGCCTAATGTGAGCCTTCCTGGGCACCACTACCCTTACGTTAGGCTCCCCGGAGCAGGTTGAGCCTCACTTGCCAAAGGAGGCAGGGGTGGGAACATTGTTGGCCTCATGCCCACTTGAGTATCTGCTGGGAGAATTTTGCACATGCTGCTAAGTGCCCAGTGGTACCCAGGGCTCCCTTTTTACATTCTTAATTACCCTGAAATTCAGCCACATGGTCTCTCTGCCTGCCTGGACCAGTGCTCGATGGCAGCTGGTATTAGAAACCAACTGTGCTTCAAGAGCCCTCAAGTTCCTTCCTCACTCTCTCAGGGAAGGTCCTTCCAAGCCAGTGATAGGAATGTGTGCATGTGGTGGGGCCGAGGTGGGGTGCGTATGTGTGTACATGGCTTCATGCTTACAATGATCTGCGCGTATTGGATGTGTGTGTGTGTGTGTGTGTGTGTGTGTGTGTGTGTGTGTGTGTATGAGAGAGAGGGAGAGAGAGAGAATGAGGACATGCTCACTTCTTGATGAAGATTTTGGACTAAATCAGGTAGAAAAGAGTTTTAAACTTTCATGGGGAATCAGAAACGTTCCAAATTTAATGTAAGGAAGCACAGAAAGAGTCCAGAATAACTGTTTGTGCTTCTCTTTTCTAAAAGAGCAAAGTCAAAGTTCTCAGAATATTGTTTTTGTATATTAGGGCAGAATGGAAGAAAGTGAGGTTGAAGGTGTTTTGGAAAGTTTTTGAGTTGGGATTACCTCACTCTCCCTACACAAATTCTCCACATCTGTCTTCTGATTTTGTTTTAGGAGGAAAGGTATGAAGTGGGTATTTGTGTATTGTGTAATTTTATACACATGCCAATACAAAATCATAAATGTCCATATATATTCATGCATGCATGAGCTGGGTGGTAACTTTAGGCAGGGAAGGTGTGGCTGGAGAAGGTGTGGTATTGGGGGAGTGTGTCTTTAAATTTTATATTTTGTCCTTGGTGAGTGGCGCTCTCTTTGCTTCCTGATTGCCATGTCCCCAGCCGCTTTCCTCTGCCACACCCTTCAACCATGATGTCCTGCTCATTCCTCAGGCCCTGAGGAATGACTTTGGACATCTGTGGACTGAGACCTCTGAAACTGGGAGCACCAAATTAACGTTTTCTCTTCTAAAATTGTTCTTGTCAGGTATTTTGTTCACAGTGATGGAAAAGCTGACTAAAACAAGTGGAACTCAGTTAGTGTTAGAGCCATGTGACTATGTAGGGAAGCAATTCAGAGATGTGGGGATCACTCGCCTGCAATGGTCAGGGAAGACTAAAGTGTCAAGAGGTTGTTTTATGTTTCTGAAAATTTCCCCTGGGAGAAATAGTTTTAAAAAGAGATGAGCGGGGGGAGTAAATCAATGCAACAGACAGGAACAAGTTGCAAAGCTCCCAGAAATCTCCCAATTTTCTTATGGCCATGGTCCCTCTAGTGAAGAGTGACTTACCTGCTAGTAGAGGGGATGGCCATTCCCTTGCATCCAGCTTCCCTCGCTGACATCATAGGGAGGTATCCTTCTGACTTCATGAGAACATCACTTTCCCAAAGGGAGCTGTCTGTCCCACTTGATAGGAGGTTTCATTTCTACTCTTCCTCAAAGCTCAAGAGGCAATCAGAGCAGAAGGATGGATTGGTAACCATTCAAGATGATTGATTGGGTCAACCTTGTGTCAGCTGTACTAATTTAGACCTGCTTGATGTATAAGCTAACCTATAATGACTTATCACCTAAAATGATATATAAACTCACCATCTACAAACTAACATGCTGTTCTCAAACTGTTTGGTAAAAGAGTGATCACATAAAATCAACATTGGGATAGTTAGATGCACATAGATGCTTTTGGAAATCCTGAGGGGGGAGTTATTTAAATAAAACTGGAAATTAAGAATGGCTTTATGGACCAGGGGGACTTCAACTGAGTTTATTTATGGATTTGTATATTTATTTATTTTTTGCTGAGTTTCAATGCAAAAGTGGTGTTGAGTTGATAAAAAGGAGACTATATCAAAGGTGATCAGTTTGTATTTGTAAATGTGATGCCAATGGCATAGTCACTGTCACAGAGATGATCTTTGTAGGATATCACTTTAAATTTGTTTTCTGGACAGATTAATTTAACTCTATCAAATCTGATGGTTTAGCTCACAGCACCAAATAGCAAATGGCCTAAGAGTTTTATATGAATTATTAATTTGTAAAATTTGATGGATAGAGTAATGTTTTTTAAAGTAAACCCACTATTGTTCATGTTAAACCTTTAGCTGGTAGAACACAGGGTTTAATAACATTTGCAGTAAACTTTGGTATAAAAGTGAAGGTAGACATCAAAATTATTTTTGAAATATTCTTAAAAATATTTTTAAAATTCAGATCATATTAACAAAGACCAAGAAGTGGTGCATATGTGAACAATGAATATGTGTGAAGGGGAAGGTGAACCACAAAAGCATGCTAGACTGTCCCTGGATGAGTAGGTAAGAGCAAAAACATCACAGTTGTAATCACAGTCTATTTATCAAATGATGACAATGAAAATCCTTTACTAAAATTTATAGAAAATTTTAATTATAAATAGATTTATCACCTAAAATGATTTAGTTATGAAAAAATAGATAATCACTCATGTCAAATAGCTAGAAAAAGGATATCAACCTATGGAATGCAGGAGGAATAAAATAACAAAGACAACAAAAATTAATAAAATTTGTGTAGAAAAAAATGAAAGCAAAAATAATCAGTAAATCCTCTGAGACAGACAAAATTATGGGAAATTTTAATCAGAAAGAAAAAGCAAAACGTATCTATTTAAAATAAATGATTAGGAAAGAATATAATTATATATGTTGTTAAAATAATTTTAATAAGAGTTCTATGTGAAAATCTCTGCTACTTAAAAAAAACACAATAAAATGGAAAATCTCTAGAGAATTTACAATTACCAAGGCTGAT